CGCCCCCCGAGAGCGCGCTCTACAGGCCGCCCCCGCTCCCCTCCTGCTCCAGGTCTCCCCGCACCGCGGGACCACGTGGATCCACAGCTCTTACCCCCATCCTCACTGAACTTACTAGGACGCAACGAGCCGCCCGTTTCCCTTCCAGAGCCCCGCAGCTAGCTCTGACCAGGGCCTGGAAGCCAGGGCTTGTCTCCCAGCAGGGCAAGGCGACTTGCGAAGGGCAGGACACTGCCCCGAGCCGCGGACTCCCGGCACCTTGGCTTACTGCGGGTTAGAATACTCTTTTCTGCGGTGAGTGCCGCAGTGCCCGCCGCCAGGTACCCAGGGCGGGACAAGCAACCGCTCCGCGAGCCTGAGTGCCGCTGGCCTGCGGGAACGACAGGGGGCCGTGAGCTTCCGCGCGGCTTTGGACTCCCGCACCGTCTGTCGCCTTGCTTCCAGTGTTTGAGCCTGGGACCCCTCACTGAAGACGCTAGCGAAAAACCCAAGTCCTATCGAGTCAAGACGCCAGCACGCCACGTTAATGCTGCTTTCGGCGCTTCCCTTCCTGCCGGCGGCGGCGCCTTGCAACTAAACACTGAGCTCGCCTGCTCCCGGGGCCACGAGGCCAGGCCCCGAAGACCCGCCCCCCGACGCGTCACGCCGGGCTCCAGTGACCCGCGGGGAAGTCCGCTAAGCTATTTACGTGGAAGCCACACTACGTGTTCAGGACCGGAGGACTCCACTGCTTAGGAGCCTTTGACCACTTCCAGAACTGAATCTCGCAGGATGCTCTTCGCCTATGCAGAAGGTGGAGTCCGGCGTCTGCATCTTAGGTGCACAAACGGACGAGGTCGCTACCACCCTGGACCACGCGGCCCAGGTTCGTCCTAAGCGCGGCGCCGGGTTCCTCTCCCGGAGGCCTAGCGCGCCCCGCCCCGCCCCGCCCCGCTCTCAGCCTATCCCGAGCCGCCGTTTTGCCCGCGAATATCCCAGGCGTGGCATCCGGAACGCCGCACCTAAAGCGCCGTTTCAGCTGCGCTTAGGCCTGACACACGGCTACTAAGAAGTGCCAGCAGCTCCTCCCGTGACACTTTGGGGGCCCTGAAAAGGGCCTTTGGGGATCTGATGGGGCGGTGCGGGGACAGCTCAGCCGCCGAAGCCGTACAGGGTGCGGCCCTGGCGTTTCAGCGCGTACACCACATCCATGGCCGTCACCGTCTTGCGCTTGGCGTGCTCGGTGTAAGTCACCGCGTCGCGGATCACGTTCTCCAGAAAGACTTTGAGCACTCCCCGGGTCTCCTCGTAGATGAGCCCAGAGATGCGCTTAACGCCCCCACGGCGGGCAAGACGGCGAATCGCTGGCTTTGTGATGCCCTGGATGTTGTCCCGGAGCACCTTCCGGTGGCGCTTGGCGCCTCCCTTTCCCAGCCCCTTGCCGCCCTTCCCTCGCCCAGACATCTTCCGCCAGAGAGCCTCCTCGTCAGGCCAGCGAGCAAGCAACTAGCTGTGACTTGCCGCGCAGATCAGGGCTTATATTCTCTTTATGCGGACCTGTTTGAAAACCTCGAAAAGTAGGCGGAGCTCCAGGTCCCGCCTCTGGAGACTTCTTCCCTGTTGCTTAAGTCCAGGAAGCAGTAAGGGAAGCAAGCACGTTTTTGTTTGTTCTTTTGGAGAAAACTTGATATTTTTGCCATAAACTTGAAGAAAGTGTCATTATGGTATATTTGAAAGTTAAGCAATATGAGATAATAGAATTTATATTGTTTTTCTCAGCGCTGAAATAAAAGGCCAGATCCTATGCATGCACTCTGTCCCCTTCTTTCTCCCTCCTTCCCTTCCCTCCAATTGTTTTTTTTCTTTAAACGGAAATACCATTCCAGACTTGTGAAAGTCGAAGGGAGCGATAAATGCTTTAGCTCCTATTAGATTTCAAAGCAATTACTTTACAGCTTTTCGTATGTGGTTCTTCTTAAGTCACTTTGGGGGAGAGGATATCTCCCCGCACCCCCCCCCCGCACCCGCTCTTTTGTGGCCCTGCGGAAAACGGATTAAAATTTTCGATTAAAAAGCATCTAACCTTCCCGTTCCCTACCCTAGCTTGTTTTCCTTTCAACTGCTTCTGTACAATATGCAGATTTTCCTGCCTCTCCTTTCTCCTGCCCCTCAAGCGAGCATGTGCTTTTCAACCAAATAACTGTTCCTATGGGTATTATTTAGTTGAAATATTGGAAATTGGAAATTTCTTTTTATGGCATTCGTTCTTGTAAAATAAGGGATGCCACCATCGCGACTTTGAGCAATCAGGAGGCTCTCGGTCCTTTCCTTTCTCAAGAGACTCCCCGAACAAAAAGGAAAGTTTCAGTAAAGTGTCACTGCTCTTGCAAGGTGATAGGACTCTGGCTTCTCTAAAGGTTTTACTACGTTAAAGGTAGCAGTATTTAAGAGTGGATTCATAAGTCTGTCCCAGGTACTTAATTAGCATTTTGAGGGATGAATATTTTAGTGAATGGGGCTCTTTGTCCCTTGTCTTTAAGTCAAGACTTTGCAGCAGGAATGTTTTATGGTAAACATTTATTATGTTTCCTCCCCCCTTCTTTGTTTTGCTAAAAATGAATAAAAAGAGCCAGAACACTGTATGACTGGAAAAACTCCTGAATCGTCAAACTTAATTACATAATTTTAATTCTTAATCCTTGACAGAGAGAAAAGTCTGTCAAATCTTGAAGAGATAAGGTTTCTTGAAAAGGTAAAATAAGATTACTTATTTATATTCACTCTTCCAATAAATAAAAGGTTAGAACTTTTTCAATTTTATTTTATTTTTATTTATTTAGTTATTATTACAGCATGAGCCACTGCGCCCGGCCCAGAACGTTTTCAAGTTCGAAATCTCTTGCTTACAAGAATAAAAGGAAAAGTTGTGCTCAAAACAATAATAATTTTTAAAACTCTATTTAAAACTCCACATGATACCTCATCCACAAGGGAACATGCATAATGAACATTTGTATACCTAGCCCTGAGTTGTACCCCACATCTTCAAAATAAAGGAAAAAAAAAAACTCTCTGTGATATGGGCACAAATTTAAGCTAGTTTACAGAACTCTGGACAGGAACATCTTATTAAAAACTGCATTGGCAAACAAAACAAAGCAAAATAAAACTGCATTGGGGATTTGTATGTCCATTTGTTCAGAATATCAAAGAGGTATTGAATATTTACTAACGTATTTAATTTTCTGAGGTAGGTACAGAAATCAAATGATTTATTGAAGGTCAGCTGCTAAGTGGTAATGCCAGCATTCAGGCAAAAGCAGTCTGGCTCCAGGATAACTGCCTAAACTATGACAATATGCTGCTTCTCCTCTCCAAAGACTTTTATTAAATCCCCAATATAGGTTAATTATTGTTCCAGGTAGTAACACATATACATAAGTATTTGCAAGCGTTATTTCAATGAAGTCAAATATTTATTAGGACAGTGAGAGGGTAAGCTTGTTTTACTTTATTTAAATGGATCCACAGAAAATATTATTTATTTTAAGAAACAAATATTTAACGTAACATCACATCGTGGTGTAATTGTATAATTGTAAAAAATGCTGTGGTAAATGAAATCACTTCAATGAATTTAGTAGAAAGTAAGTTATATATATATTTTAAAGTATTTTGTTTCAAAAAGTATGAGTTCGCAATTCGGGAATATAAGGACAAGTTACTGCCATCTTCCTTTAGTGTCTGGGCTCATCTACCCAGAGACTCCGGGGGGGGCGGGTTCTCCAAGTTTTCACTGAGAAAGTGATCTGCTGATTTGGTGTGCCCAGACCTGCAGGGAGCCAGCCAAGTCCAAGACTTTTTTGTCTCATCGGTAAAACCCAGTGGCTCTTTTCAGACCCATAATCTCAAAGACAAGAGATGTTGTTTTGGCTAGGCGAGCTTGTTCCTCCCGTCTGTACAGGAAGCATTCATGCCAAGTCTACCACTAATGCCAGAATCCCTTAGAAGCGAACGATTGGTCGCCTGTGAGCGACAGAACTTGCAGGGAGACCAGTGTCTGGATATTTATGTGGGAGGTTATGTAAATAAGGTATAGGAATTTGCTCTTTTGATTGGACAGAACTGGAGGAGGCAGTTGCTCAGAGTGGAACCTTCTTGTCATTCGTGTAGTTAAGGCAAGTCACATGGCCAATTACCGAGGAAACTTCTCTAGAAGCACTCCCTTCCCCGGCCCCCCCCCCCCCCAGCTATCCAGTAGCAGGAGGCAAAGCGCTTGTGTAAAGAAACGGGATGAACCTTGTACTGGGAGGGAGAATTCGGCAGAGAGTCTGTGATTTCGCTTAAAAAGCAGTGGGTTTTGGAGTCGGAAAACTACCTGATTAGGAGGCTATGAGAAAATCCACCCAGAAAGCATAGCAATGTCTGCCAAACGGTGCGACTTCAACTGCTAGGCAGCTCTTCTTTTTTCGGCTTCTAACCACGTTTCCTTATTTCTTAAGAGTTTAATCTTACGGGAACGAACATGACGTAGATACCCCCAGTACTCACTGAACTCTTCAGGGCCGGCCCCCAAATGCGGAGCTGGCTGGCCCTGGGTATTTATAGGGGAAGTTATGTAAATAAGGTATAGGAATTTGCTCTTTTGATTGGAGAGAACTGGAGGAGGCGGTTGCTGAGAATGGAACCTTCTTGTCATTGGTCACCGGGACCGAGAATGTTGCGGTGTCCAATGGGAAGACGCTGCCTGGTGGCTGCAAAGAGTTTGTAGCGGCAGTTCCGGTGTGGTACGCGGCATTCCCGGACCCGACCCGGATCGCGATTTCTCTGGGCCTCGGGAGTTTAGGCGAGAGGGGAACATGTCCGGCCGCGGAAAGCAGGGCGGCAAAGTGCGGGCAAAGGCCAAATCCCGCTCCTCCCGTGCAGGCCTGCAGTTCCCGGTGGGCCGAGTGCACAGACTGCTGCGCAAAGGCAACTACGCGGAGCGAGTCGGCGCTGGGGCGCCGGTGTACCTGGCGGCGGTGCTGGAGTACCTGACGGCGGAGATCCTGGAGTTGGCTGGCAACGCGGCGCGTGACAACAAGAAGACGAGGATAATCCCGCGGCACCTGCAGCTCGCCATCCGCAACGACGAGGAGCTGAACAAGCTGCTGGGGAAAGTGACCATCGCCCAGGGCGGCGTCCTGCCCAACATTCAGGCCGTGCTGCTGCCCAAGAAGACGGAGAGTCAGAAGGCGAAGAGCAAGTGACCCTGACGCCGCCGCGAGGGACCTGGCTTCCCCGGCAGAGGCGCTTTTCGTAGCCGTCCCGCAGTCATTTTGAACGTGCTGGATGTCATGGGGGGCTTTTGCGATCTAGCCGGGAGGTGGGCGGCGAGGGTCCTGTCGGGGTCGAGAGCTAATAAAGTCAGTGAAAATCGTATGGTCGAGAGCTGTGTAGTCGTGGGGACCTGCCGGATGGCCCGGGGGGCGACCGGGAAACCTCGGAAGCAGGTACCGATATGGGTTGGCTTGAGCCCCTCTGGACTACTTTGGTCTGCAGGTCACCCTCCAGGCCTTACGGGCGAATGAGGGAGACCGCGAGGGACCTGGAGGTGGGAAGGATTGGCGCTCTCCCTGCTCTCATTAAGGCAACGGGGAGGAGGAGTAGTTGCGGTGCGGCCCACTCTGGAATTATTTTTACTTCCTTTTCCAGGGCCTTCGCTCTGGCCTGTTTGTGGCAGTCAGCACTAAAGTTGTAGGCAGAGAACCATCGGATCCAGCTGGTCTCCGGCAGGAAGTGTCTCTGACCAAACTTTTCAAAAGGTGGAGTAACTTCTCCGTCTTCGAAGGGTGGCCCTGATGGCACGGTATCAACTTGGGTCTTCTTAGCTGAATAGCTGTTGTGCTTCCATGTTTCGGAAGTCAGATATATTTATATAGCACCTTATGTTCATTTTTTTAAAAATTAAGGAAACATCCAATAATATGTGTAATACAGAAGCATGAGTCATAGATGGGAAATTCTTTCCCCTGACACCCATGTTGTGTACGTCAAGCTTTTAAAAAGATATTCTCGGTTTGTAGCTTCATAATGGTCTTGCCTCCATTATAATATACTCTTTGGGAATTGGTTTGACTTTGCTTTATAACAACAACAAAAAAGAAGAAATCCTCCCAAATAACTTAGTTTAGGGGTTATTCTTTCTCATAACCTGCTTGGAATTCCTTGTGTTCTTTCACTAGGCTAAAGTAATGACCTTATTCCAATAAAGTCTATTGGAATTGTATTGCTAATGACACAGTATCCCTTTAATAAATATGTAAGGAAAGATAGGGCCGAATGATGCAAGTGCTGGGAGAAACACAGTTCAGATCAGGAATCCACATTTAAAAGTTCAACACTAGTATTCCTGTTTTGCCCTTGGTTGACTCTTCCATTTCATCCTTCTCAGCAAACTTCATCCTGGCTCACAAGCCTCCTCCCCAAAAAAGATTTCAGTTTAGATGTCACATCTTTGGATTCATGTTTCCTGTGTGTCAGAGTTGAAGTCTTTCTTTAAAAAAAAAAAAAAATGATGTCTTTATCCTTAGTAGTGGCTGGTCCATTTCCCCACATGGACTTTATTTCATTTCCAATATTTATTGATCATCTCTCTATGCTGTGCTCTACTAGGTGATGACTACAGCTGTGCATGAGGCCAAGCAGATTTCTACTCCCCTGGAGTTCACTTTTTAAAAATCAATTCCTAAAGATAGGACAAAGAACAAAAATATAAGTTAATATCAGAGAGCAGCTTCTGTTAGTACTTGTGCCTCTCTGCTGTTTGTGGAATGAATGTTGAAACTGTCTCCCATGTGATCATCATTGACAAAGGTTGGGCCACACATATCTCTGTTAGGCAGATTATTGCCTCCTAATTTCTGAGGTGACTAGGCTTCAATGGGCAGTTTCCAGGATGCTCAGCTATTGACTCCACTCCCTATGATTTCCTTATATGTAAAACAGATATAATACCTGTTTTGAGGACTGAGATTTTTCACTTATCATGTGTCCCATAGTAGGCACTCAATAGTCAAAAAAAAAATACTATTTCCTGCCGGAATTTGGGTTTACCTTTACAGGCAGCATTATAGGTAACCATTAAAAGGATTTTTGTTTTAATGCCCACTTGTTAGCGCTCAATGTTACCACTTGGGGGCAGCGGAACAACAACAACCCCCCGGGGGGGGGGGGGGTGGGAGAAAAA